CTACAGACTGTTACACCTGTCAGTGACATCACTGACAGGTGTAACAGTCTGTAGAGACAGGATGTGACATCATCAGTGACGTCACTGACAGGTGTAACAGTCTGTAGAGACAGGATGTGACATCATCAGTGGCGTGGCAGACAGGTGTAACAGTCTGTAGAGACAGGATGTGACATCATCAGTGGCGTGGCAGACAGGTGTAACAGTCTGTAGAGACAGGATGTGACATCATCAGTGGCGTGGCAGACAGGTATTGACTCCATGTCAGTTTACAGGCTGCTCCTTCGGCTCGGCGGCCATCTGGCAGTATGAGTCGCTGAAGTCTCAAATCCAGAGCTACTTCAGTGAGGCTCGAGCTGATTGGCTGGAGAAGATCCGGCCTCAGAAACGAGGAGACTTCCGAAAAGAGGTGGAGTCTGACTTTGTCCCTTCAAAATAAAAGCGTGGTTGTTGAAAACATTTCAACAAGACGATGAAAAGAAGAGAGAGCTGACGATTGGCTGCTTGTATTTCAGATCAACCAATGGTGGCACAGCTTGACTGAGGGTCAGAGGACCGTCACAGGTCAGTCCAGTCCAAACAAAAACAAACCAGAACCGAGCTCGGCTTCATCAGAACTGATGAGTTCAACTTGTTTTTTTCCCAGGAATCATTGCTGCTAACGTCATAGTGTTCTGCTGTTGGAGGGTCCGGTCCCTGCAGCCCTTCATGGTCCGCTACTTCATCTCCAACCCGGCCTCCAGTGAGTAGTTCTGGTCCCAGTTCTGGATTCTGGTATCAGATGGACCTGTGTGAGCCTTGTGGTTCTGTGTTTCTTTCCCTGCAGAGACTCTGTGCTCTCCGATGCTCCTCTCCACCTTCAGCCACATCTCCTTCTACCACATGGCCGTCAACATGTACATCCTGTGGAGCTTCTCTACCAGCGCCGTGTCCATGTTGGGCCGCGAGCAGTTCACAGCCGTCTACCTATCTGCAGGTGCTGCCCCACAAACTGAATGTTGTCTGAGTCATCATCTGTCTGAACGCTGTGATCATTTGTCTGAATGCTGAGTCATCATCTGTCTGAACGCTGAGTGATCATCTGTCTGAATGCTGAGTCATCATCTGTCTGAACGCTGTGATCATTTGTCTGTGCTGAGTCATCTGTCTGAACGCTGAGTCATCATTTGTCTGTGCTGAGTCATCATCTGTCTGAACGCTGAGTGATCATTTGTCTATGCTGAGTCATCTGTCTGAAAGCTGAATCATCATCTGTCTGAACGCTGAGTCATCTGTCTGAAAGCTGAATCATCATCTGTCTGAACGCTGAGTCATCTGTCTGAACGCTGAGTTAGAATCTGTCTGAACGCTGAATCATCATCT